GAATTTGGGATGCTGCTTCAGCAGTCTAGCTGACCCAAGGGGCTAGTGTCTGTGGATACCAAGTGGCTGGGCCTCAAAAGCTCCTATCTATTTGTAACATTCAAATAAATACCTCAGAAACTCCTGAGGCAGGTAGCCCTGAGCTGCTGGCCAGGGCAGGTTTTTATACTTGGGCCCCAGGCTCTATCTCCCCCTGGCTGCAGATCTGGGAGGAGCCAGGCAAGGTTATTTTGCCCCAAGTAGAACTGTTTTCTCCACAACAAAGTACATGTCCCGGCACGTGTGATGAGGCAAAAAGCCCTGGCTCAAATTTGCACTGCTTCTATTTGAGTTGCTGCAAGCGCACGTGCTTGCATGTGTGGACGTGCTCCATGAGATTTCTTTTGGTCCAATCCTCCAGTTTGTCAAGGTTTTTATGAATCCTAGTCATATACACCAATGTATCTGTTATTCCCCCCAGCTTAGTGTCATCTGCAAACTTGCGAAGAGTGCATTCCATCCTATCTTCCCATCTTTGGAAAGCTTTTAGGCATCTATTGGAAGGTATAGACACAACTAGATGTGATTGTATTTTCATTCATTACAATTTATATGTTAAAAGAAGTTTGCAATGTATATAAAATATAAACGTTTGGCTTCATCATTCTGTTAAACTTAAATGGGTTTTGTGTCTATCTAAGACAAAATCCTAAAGGACTTTAAGAAAAAATACCTCAATTTACATTTCTTTAAAAAAAAAGCGAAGTAAACAATATATTATAATTCTCCGTTTTATTTAAATATCTCAACTTTTCATAGTTCTGATACAATAATTACACATTTCTTTTATGAAGGAAATAAATGGAATTGAAGAAAAAGAAATTTTCCCATGAAACTAAAAATTAAACAGTAAATTAGTTTTAAGTTTTAGCACTGCCACCAAACGCATTCACACATGCAGGTTGTTTCATTGAGCTCACTGGATATAGCAGAACTTTCAGTGTTCGTGACATTAGTTGCATGCTTAAGTGTTGAAAGATCTCAAGCTGATTTTTTTCCACTTTTTTTCCACATTTAAAGCAATGTATGTTATAGTTATGTGAGCAGCTTTATTAAGCAAAATTAAGATACAAATGCTGACTTTGCAAGCTGGAAGGAATAGTTTAATGTTTTCTGGGGGGACCCTTGGTTGGGCTTCTCATTCTGTATATGAAGAAGAGTACGACGACATAGTACATGCTGCTTTTCAGGAGAAGAACTATGTATATTAAAGATGCAGTCCTGTGCGTGAAATTCTCTGCAACATCAAAAACAAAATATAAATATAATGCCTATACAATATTTGATGGCTGTAATTTATGCATGTGAATCAAACTGCATATAATTGAGTTAAGGCTGTGATGGTATTAAACTCCCCCACCCGGGTGAATATGCAACACCTAAGCTGAATTTGGGTAGTGTCTGATCTGAACTAAAGAGATGGCATTAGGTTTTGGAAGCTTTTTATGAAATAACTGAGAGCAACTTCCTACATCTTGAGGTATTGCATGTAGACTAGTTTCAATGATTAGGTTTTATATATATTTTGAATACACAACATGGTGCTTAATTCTTGCACATACTCTATTAAAAATCGAGAACTGGACACTTTTAAGTTACCTTTGCCACTTGCTTGACTGGCAGTACAGTTGTCTGCTTGAGTCATAGGTGTTGCTGAAAGAATCAAAGTTATAACATGTAAAGGAAGAATTACCTGTTCAAATGCTTCTTCTGTCTAAGACCTTTGCTGCATGTTACATATATTGTGCAATTAACTGGTTAATCATTCAATACATTTATACTAGCCACAAGTGCAAAGTAATTATCACACAATTGACTGATTAATTGTGCAATAAATTTAGACCAGCCACATATGCAAAGTAGTTATCACACCCTAAAAATGACTATCCAGCTATAAAAAGCAACCAGCTGCAAAGTTACTGCTTGAAAATGTGGAACAACCCCCTAGCTGGTTTCTGTCCACTTTTAATTTTGACATGCAACACTTCCCTAAAGTTAACAACACTTTTTTCCTTAATAGGAATTCAGAGATGGAATAAAAAAGTAAAACGGTGACCATGATATAAACAGGTAAAATTGCACTTTCCCCCTTCTGCCCCCACCTCTCCCCACCCCCCTACTGCTTCCATATTTCCTCTCCAGTGTATATATTTATCCTAGAAAGTTATTCACATGCAGAGGTAAATGTAGAAAATGCACATGCAAATGGGTACATGTAAGCCTTATGTATTCTTTTAGGCCCTATTGTATCAAATCCACCAGTGTAGTCCTCTGTGCCCATGTGGTGCTCACTTATGTCTTAGGCCTTTGTAAGTCACATAAGTGACTACTAGCAATCTGCTAGAGAAACAGCTTCTGCATGTGCCAAACTGCTTTGTTGTGTAAAGTGCTTTAGGGACAATTTTCCAATTGGTAAAATTTGGCATAACTCCATTATCTTTTAGGAACAATAATATATTACACACAAAATTATTGTAAAGAAAAATTGAAATCTTTAAACTATATAGACAGTTTTAGCAATGTAAGATATACCTGTTGGGAGTTGAGTATGGATGGATTTTTTGCCAGATCCTTCGCGCTCGTACCAGCAAACATATTCTTTGTTGATGTCCTTATTTACAGTCAGCCAGCTGCTGACTGAGTATGAGTCTGCATCTTCCTGAGGTGGCCAAACTTCTCCCTGTACTACATTATCTGATATTTTCGTTCCCTCTTTATCTGTCCAATACATCCGAATAACATTCGGGAAAAAATTATGAACGAGGCAAACGTATGTTTCCTTTGAGTCCCCTATGTGATGCAGCATCTCGTCTTGTGCTGTAGTTGTTGCTTGTTTATCTGGTTTTGGAGGGAGAGAGAAGTTGTTTGTAAATTATGCATATTCAAAATAGGCTGCTGTGCTTTTGAAAATAATAAGTATTGAATTCACCGAGAAGCAACATCTCGCATCTAGTTTCCCCAAATTACTTTAAAACACATAGCCCTCAATACTTAGCATCAACAGAATAGGTTTATCCTATCTTTCATTTTATCTGTCAAAAATACATTTTAATTCTATGGCGTCTATAAATGTTATAATCATTTATTCAGCACTGCCGATAGGAATAAAATAGTTCATGTATGACTAACTAAGGATTTGGATATGTGAATTGTAATGATTCATATGTTTGAGTTGAAAGTAATTTCTTGTGGAACTGAAGAAATTGTGCATCTTAACTTGGTTTTGAAACTCACAGTATATTAAACACTTTTTGATAGTTCAGTTGTCATTTCTGCTTCATTTCAAAGCAGATGCATGATTGCCTAAAACAGCTAACATGGAGAAGATGGAAAAGAATAGACACTTTTCATTGGCTTGGTCACACTTGCAAACTTGTGAAAAGGGTTTGCTCAGACTTTCTTAAAATGCATGTCTTTGATTTATAGAACAAGCAGACAGTTGGGTAGTCTTGAGAGCATTCAGATTACATGTCGATACTATCTACTGCACAAAACCAAAACAAAACACTAATTAACAGTTCAGGGTGCTTAACTGTATTTTCTAACAAGGTAATAAATGTTGAGAAAATCAGTTAAGATAGCATTAACATCCCAGACTATCTTCAATTCTTATGCCTTTGCCAGGGAAAATTCAATAACTTAAAGGAACATTTTGGAAGGCATAAATGTACCCTTGAGATTTTTTTTAAATGTAACTAATACTTGAATAAAAATGATTTTTGATAGCAAGATCTGAAAGGTTTCTCTCCAGAATTCTCTAGGATGGTCCAGGACAAATTTATCTCCTGAAAAACTGTGTTTGTTCTTTATTGACAAACAGGTTTGCAACTTTAAGAAGAAAGTTAGAAAAGCAGTCTTTAAGTCTTCTCTATTCTAGGTGACAAACACTGCAGAAAACATGATGAATATAGGGAATAACCTGCATTCTAACACAGATTAGTTCCAACCATTTCAGTAGGAACTGTTTTTGCAAGCTGTTTGCAGCAGTTTCAGAAAATATATCAGTGTGTCTTATTAATGGTAAATGTTGAGGAATTATCAAGAATTTGATTAATTGAGGAATTAGCATTCCATAACACTGAATTCCCTCTGCCAGACAGGCAAACAAAATAATTTAAGATATACCATTGGCACATGAAATTTAATGTTATGTAATGCTTAACACTTCTGAAAATCAAGGCAAATAAATACTTATGGCCTCTAGGTATTTAGACTAGAGGCAACCATTTTAACAAGCCTAGTTAAGAAACACTGTTAATAATGGGCCACTGAACTATCAGATCCTAGTTGTTTTATGGACAAATGATGGACCTGAGTGTGTGATACAAACTAATGGAATTTCAAATAATCCTGCCCCAAAATTGTCACTGAGGAAAATAACACAAATCAGAAAATGGCAAAAAGCTTCAGTGTTATTGTGGGCATTTCAAAATTTCTGCTTAATTATACAAGGAAAAGTTAGAGGCTGCTTTAAAAAATGGTCTGTACTTAACCAAGCAGGTTGGCTGGCATTCTGAAAGGTGGCTGAGAGATTTAGGTGTCCACCTCCCTGTGAGATTTAAATTTCTCCGGCTCCCTTTAAAAATGTTAGATTTTGTGTTTGGTCAATTACAGTGATCTAGATTAATAGAAGGTATGGCATTAATCCTGCAGAGACTTACACCTGCACGTAAAGTCATTCACTATGAAAAGCCCATTTAGTGTCAACGTTATTTTTAAAGCTGCTTTTACTAAAATGCTTTCCTCTTATTCTATACAGGTTATTTTAGAGTTTCCTGAAACAGTTTTGGACTGAATCAAACTTTAAACCTTGTACTTAAGATCCTTGTTTGTTTGATTTTTGTTTAAGAGGCAAATGAAGACAGCCATCGTATCAGATTTCTAACCCAAAATTCAGGGATTTCCAGCAGAGGCAGATTGATTTTGTTTGTTTTGGTTGCTGTATCTGGCGTTATTTGAAAATTAAACTATGGTTTTGGAGTGCTACTGAACTTACTCCATTTGGTGCTCAGTCTTATATTTCAGGTGTGCCAAATTTCAGATGTGCTGTTTTTAAATGCCAAAATGAATTTGAGTGGGAGATGCAATCAGTTAAGTTCTACACTATCTCACACATTATTTTCAGATAATTCTGCCATAGAATTGTCACTTTGGAAACGAATACAAAAAACATCACTTTCCTTTGGGCATTTCAGAATTCCTGCCAAGTTACAGACCTAGGTAAAAAACCAAACCAGACCAAACCCATGGAGATTTTGAACTAGAAGAGATACACATACTGTCATTTCATAATTAGTTTTATGTAAGCATATGAACTGGTTATAGTGAACCATGCCAAAAAGAAAAAGGTGTGCATCCAAAGGGTCAGCTCTTTGCTACAGTGTTGGCAACTAAAAAAAAAAATGCTAAAGAGTATACTTAACATACTCATTATGACAAGTAGTGAACCTATTTCAGTGTACCTAATATATCTGTCCCTTGTTTGTTCCCTGTGATAAAACCCAAAGAATATGAGGTTCACAACTCAGCAAAATGAACAGCAGCATCCTGACAGTATGCGTGTACAACAAAGCAGAGGTTGCTTTTATTAAATATCTGATTTTCATTTGAAACTAAATGCTTATTTCCTTTGTATTTTCTGTTTGTACTTAATCTTAATTGCAAGCAAAAGTTAGCGTTCATTTAAAAAATGTATCTATACATTGTTTGTTCACCAAACAAAATGGCTGGCATTCTAGCTCTCGTTTGGTCAACTATATAGAAATGAATTAAAAATATACCACACTCATCTTGCAAAAATGTATAGACCTGCATAATATGCACTATGGAAAGCCTGACTAGTGTCAACATTTAAAAATCTTCTTTTACTAAAGTGGTAAAAACTAAACCTCTTTTACTGTATTCACCTTATTTTTATACAGGTTATTCTACAGTTCCCTGAAACAGTTTTGGACTGAATCAAACTATAAACCTTGTACTTAGGGTTGTGTTAAGCACATTTTTTGGATGATTTTTTGTTTAGAAACAAATTAAGCTGGCCATCGCACAAGACTTTCTAACAACAGCAACAAAAGAATCTGTAAGTTTTCTCAATTAATTTGTCCTCACTTCATGGATTGTCAGAAAAGTGGATTGATTTATTTGTTGTTGTGTTTCTTGTTTTTTGAGATAACAAGCATAGTTATTCAGCACTACATACTTGTTTTGGTGCTGTTTTACATTTCAAATGTGCTGAAAACCCCCCAGGAAAACAAGACTTGACCATACAGTAGTTTTCAAAATTATATACTCCCTCAAGTTGTATGGATGGTTCGTAAAAGTTTTTACATTGGATCCTGCCTAGTGACACTGCTCTTTGCAAAACCTCACAATTTTTTGGGCATCTCTCAGACATTACGACTCTGAGCTTTCAAGGGTAAAGTCACTGTCAAATGTCTTGTTTTACAGCATGCGTGAGTCTAAATTGGGGATTCTTGTAGGCACATACCTCTAGGTATATCTAAAATAAATTCTGAATTTTGCATGCATACACACAGTAATTGTTTACAAAAACAGATGTGCCAACGTACATGTAGAATGTTTTAGTCTAATCCAGAATTAACCAAAGTCAATGGGACTCTTTCCACTGACTTTGAGTTTGATGCATTATAGAGAACAGACCTTTAATTTTGAAGCTATTTTTGCTGCTGAACCACCTGTTGTTTTGGTCCCACTTAACTTTTCAAACTGCCTTGTTGCTCAGCTGAAGTGGAAATTTCTAATAAATGCTTTAAGTGATAAATTAATTTTTATATACACCTCTGAGGAAATTTGAACCCTATGCTTCTGCCTTCATTTCTAAGTAGTCTATTTCCAATTTTCAAGAGTTAGAATTGCTCAGTTAGGTTGTACATATACTCTACAACTCGTATCTTTGGGTTTACAATGTGCTTTCTACTTGTAGTAAGCTATCATACTGATTTACCATTTGAGAACAAAATCCACTCTGCATTTAGAATTTAAAAACAAGGTAAAAGCTAGTTTTTAAAACTGAAAATTGGATTGAGCACATAGTGCAAATGGCAAGAAGTAAAGTATTCCTGCTACATCCGTACTGCAGGCAATAGGAATTCAAGTTACCTAGCATCTAACATTATTGAATCCCCAAAAAGAAAGTATTATTGCTACTTTTGCCATTGGCCAACAACTTAAGATATTATCATCGTTAATAAGCTAGTACACTTCTAATATGGCTTTATCTCTCTCTGTCTCTTAACTTACAAGGTAAATGATCAACCGTCACATAATAGATTTTACCATTATGAAACTTTTAAATTATTTATTGTAAGAACTTACTGGATACAACTAATTTTGTGCCTGAACTGAAGAGTTTCCAAGCTCCCACAGCGCTGCACATCATTACAGAAAAGTGGAGGAGACTTTTCTACTAAAGAAGGATCAGATCTTAACCAACATGGGGTGAACAGGCAGAAAGGAGAGTCAGTTCATCCAACCAAATTACATGTAGAAAATGTCAATGATTTTTTAGTCTTAGTTGATGCAAATATATTTAACCCCTTTATTCGATGCTATTACAATTCATTTTGGAGCTTTTCAATTCTCTTTTAGACAAATGTTTCATTTATCCAACCAAGGAAGAATCTGTTGCTTAGGGCATAATGTTAGATGCCTATATTTTCTGGTTTTGGCCTGATTGGATTGAGAAAGAAGGACATTTCATTTAAATTCAGCTTGGATGTGTTGTCTAGTATGATTGTCTGTATACTGACTACATGTTTAAAATGTCAGTATAAACCAAAAATATAATTTCTACAATGCTAAGTATATTATATAACATCAAGTGATCTATTTCGTGTTTTCATTACTTCTTCCTAACCCCTTAAAATGTCTGTACGGATGGGTTTAAGTGTTTTTTCTAAACGCAGTAGCCATGTATATATATGAATATGATAGTTCTCAATGGTACCAACGTAAGGAATTTCATTGAGAACTATCATGTCCATTTACCTGCTTTGCAATTTAGAATTTTCTTTGACAAAAATATTTTATGATGTGAGGAAACTGCCTCTGCTATGCCATTGAATAGAATGGATGAACAGCTCTTGAGAGATCTGTAGTGATGGCACTAGGCAGCCTCCACTCCCTTTGGAAGTCAATTTTAAATCTGCACCTTCAGGATTGGGATCACAGCTACATTATGAGCTTAATTATACCCTTGTTGCAGTAATTGGAAGTCTTGATATTAACTTGCATGGATGTTGGATAACACTTGGAATTCCCATCCACCTGTATTCTAGTGCTAGTAGTGGTGATTTTGGAGTGAATGCGCAAATGCCCATGACCATGAACATATGTAGTATTTACTCATTTATTTGTACATGCTCCACCAGAACTTCCAGCTGGCCATTGCCACAAGAGAAAGATGGAAACGAAACAGGTAAAATCCTGTCTCCACTGAAATCAATGGCAAAACACTGCTTGAGTTCAGCGGGCTAGGATTTGGGCCATAATTTCTTATGTCCCCCAAGTATTCATTACATCCTTGTAATCATCTTGTGATATATGAAACCAAATACTGATCTAGTTGTACTAAACCTGAATTAACAGGTTGTGCACAGGACATCTGCATAATCACTGGAAATATTCATCTTCTTTCTACAAACTGACTGACCATGTCCTCCCCTCACTCTAGCCCCTTGCCTCCAATTCCCCACTACCCTTTGGTGCCCTGGGATTAATTAGCACAGTGTCTGTGGCTTTCCCGGCCTTCTACCCCCCATAAAGAGGACAGACCTCTGAATGGTCTTCTGCTCTGAGGTGAGAGCCATTAGATATGACCCAAGATGAATAAACGAAACTTTTTGAGAACAGTCAGAAGTCTGATATATCACCTGTTTTACCATGAATTCTCTATGTAAGTGTCATATATACATACTAAACAGATTCATTATGCTACTTTTCCATTCCTCAAGCTCCCATCTGCAAAGTTTATGTAATCACAAATCAGATACTTACTTGTTACAACAAGCTTTGTGCCGGAGCCAAAGATTTTATTATAAGTATTCTCACTGTGTCTGAATGCTTTGCAAAAACTTGTATAAAGTTTGGAACCAGTTTCCAAAGATGATATAAAAAGAGTGAAATGGTAAAATAATTGTTTGATAAATCCTTGGTATTGCTGTTAAAGCTGTCAGCCAGGATTTGAGGTAGTAACAATTGTAATGAATTGTCTTTACTTTTTTTTAATGGGTCTACCTGTCCAGCTTGCTAATATACTTCGCTAGCAATTTCATGTTACATTCTGCCATTAACTTGCATTTCTTTTCTTTTGTGGCCAATAGGCATTGGATTTGGCCCTTAAATGTTTCTCAAGAAATAATGTATTTTGTTTTTCTGCAGTAATGTAGAAAATCAGTATCTAGAGTCAAATTTGAAAAAGCAGAAAAACAGTTTTCAACAACAGACAACAGAAGACTTAAAATATCAATGGCCAGTTGTGAGTACATTATACTTGTAATTAATAATCTGTACTGATCAATGTATTCTTGATACTATTTATTTTATGGAATTCAGGTAACTTTGCCTCTGCAGTATAATGTGAGGTATAGCTTTAAAAAGCCGGCCAAATATATTTGCCTTTATTTGTGCTATGAAAAAACTGACATTAGGTTTTGGTGAATAGTTTGGGGGGTTTTCTTATTGTTTGAAAACAGTGGCAAAGTGCTCTTCAGCATTATTAGATAGACTGCATTGTAGATTATAGTCTTCTTTTCTTTTCCCCAGAACAGACACAGTAGTGGCAAAGCTTCCTCATGCTATCCCACCAAACCACTACATATCTGTCCTGAATTAAAAACTCCCTAGACACTGAAAGATAATTCAGTCTCCAATTTACTCCTTGCCTAATCCCCTGAGAAGTTTTTCCAGAAAGTTGCCTTCAGAAGCCTCTAGTTTTAAGCTGGTTTGAGTTAATCAACCCCCTTTAATTTGGGTTGATTTAATGATGATGACTAGTACCACAAAGGAGAAAGTTACAAGAAAAGACATTATTTTTTGTCAAATTGCTGACACCAATACATTTGATTCTACTTCCTATTTTTTTTTCTTTGCTATTTCACAAATCAAGAACTCTAAAGAAGCCCTGACTCAGCTCTCACTTACTTTGCTGCAAGTCTGGAGCAATTATTTTATAATCAATGGAGTAAAGCCAGTTTTTAAAAAAAAGGAGTGATTGCTTGAGAATATGATCAGGTTAATTTACTACCTATGACCTGAAAAGCAGTGTATGTTTGTTCTATATACCTGTGCATGACCCTGTCCCCTGTCTGTATATGCAGTTATATAGAAATCCTGGCTGCATTGATGACAACGTGAATTCTGCTACTGATCTCAATAGAACCTCAATTTCCCTTTGTTCCAACTATTAAGAGAAAACTAAATCTGTCATGAAATTCAAGCCTGAAATAATGTAAAATGATTTCAAATAATTAAAACATGATCAGTTTGCACTATTAACTTTGTTTTTCTTCCGAGGAGCAAATTTCATCACAAAGAGAGCGCTTAGTTTCTCATAAAATAATGCTATACATTTTTAGCCTTACCTTTGATAACACAATTTTCCTAAGATAACAATAAGCATTTTTATCTTCGGGTGACAATAGTTAACAGGCAACTTACCTGATATAATAAGCCTTGTACCAGAGCCAAATACTTTGATAAAGGAGTCACTATATGAATCACTCTGAATAAGCCCTTTACAAATATTTATACAAATTTATTCTATTTAGGTGGATGAATAATAGAGGCAGCTTTTTAAAGAAAAACAGGTTTACTATTTACCTTTCTTTCCTACCTTCAAATAAATTATCAAATAAGGAACATGCTCATAAAGAAACTTGTGGGGGGAGATTTTCACTGGTACAAATGGTATCTAAGGACTGAACATTCAATCATATTTTAAATGCCGCACTGCCTTTTAAAATCTCCTTCTAAACAACATGAGTTTCATTTTACATATTTGGTCTTGAATATCCATAAAAGAGGAACAAGGTATTTTTCCAATTAGGGCCCACAAGCTATGGTTAATAAACATTAGTTTGTATACTGCCTTGATTCCATCATGAAAAACCACTTGCTAATCAAAGTATACTTTCATATAGATAAGAGAAAAATATAGCCCTTACAGTGAGAATAATCTTAGGAATAATATGGGGTCATTTCTTCCACTTGATGTAGGCAGATAATTTTTTTTTAAGGAACAGTTGTCTTAACAAGGACAATTTAGCAGTATCCAGATGGTAATATATGCTTCATTTAGGGCAGAGAAGTCTCATTCAGTCCCCTAATATCCAAAACCAGCAAAAATAACAATAAATACTTTGCTGAGTTGAGATGGCTTTTAAACACATGCTTAAAAGCCTTCTTGGATTGGGACATTCATTAGGAAGGAAAAGACAATTTTGTTATGCTTTTATTATTAGAAATATATCCTGTACAGCTAAGTAGCCACAACAGGTTCAGCACCCTCAGTTTTCATTGGGGTTACTAGAAGTACAACCTCACCTCATCCTATGCCTGGGAACTAAATGGATGGTATATAACACTTCATAAATTGAATATTTCATACTTACTGGTAACAACAAGCTTGGTGCCACTTCCAAATATTTTTATATCGCCCACAGTGTGGTAAGGCTTAACAATATCTCCAGGCACTTGACCTCATTCTTGCTATTTAGAGGTAACTACTTAATTTTGAATTGGAGACTGCCGCAGGTGAAATCCAAGGTTTAGAGTAATCACTGAGACTTTTTTTATTTACTTCACTGGCATCAGGATTTTGAGGTCTAAATACAATTTGATTTTTGCCATAGATAGCAGACATCACTTGTTAAATACATTGTGCTCTGAGAAAAGAAATCCTTTGTAGTGCCAGTTTATATAGATGGTCCAAGGCTTTTAAATAGATTTTCTATTACCAATGTCCAATACTAATATTTCAGATGAGTTATTATTAAAAACACCACCATGCTACTGCTTTACTATTCTTAAAAGGTAACTGAATGCTTATTTCCTTACAAAATCAAATTCAGGGTATGGATTTATATTCTTTACAAAGGGAGCTCTAAGAGTGGCTTTAAAACAGTTTTTTAACAAATATTTTTTACCTACCAATAATTAGCAGGGCTAAACAGGTTGAGAAATAAAGTAATGGTTGCCAGTACTTGATTCTGACATTTCTGGATTTGTATCAGACAGCAAAAAAACCTTTAAGAAAAAATTGGGAGACTTACTTGAAACCACCAGCTGGGTGCCTGTGCCAAAATGCTTTACTCTTGATGCACGCTGCTTTAAACCTCTACAAAAATTAATGATTCTTCAAGGCATGAATTTCAACCAACTAAGAATCTGAAGTCCACATTTTAAAAAGGATGCAATCTAAACAAGACATACTAGAAACTACATTGTGCATTAAACTGAGTTTATGCATTTTTAAAAATGTTTCTGTAATTTTTTTTCTCTGCCAGTGCTTTCTGCACTTTGACCTCCACGTCTTCATGGCAAAGTGGTTGCCATAGAACGTTTTGCTAGGCTGACCAGGAATTCACCATAAATTCTGTCAGCTACAACTCGTGACATCTTGGGAATTCACAGTCTCACTGCTTCATTTGATATTTTAATAAGCTTATAATATATTGTCTAGGTAATAGTGTGTGTTTCTTAGAGAGCACTATATAAACACTATTATATGTACCTAACCTTGAAATTAGATCATATACAGTACTGCATTTATCATTTATATATTATAAATACTATTACATACACAAGGGGGGAAAGGGCACTAGGGATGTTTCACTTCCTGGCAAACCTCCTTCCCAATTTTAAAATGATACAAACTTGTTACAGCCCTGTTCATACAAGCTTTTCAGTTTTGCATCTGCTTTTGCACATGAAGCTTATTCTCTAAACTTTCAAATGTTTTCATTCTTTCAATATCATTTCACCAAGGATGAATTGGGGCCAGTATCTTCAATGTCTTCATTACCCATCTCCTCAGTTGACTCAATGTTCCAGAGATATTATTTTGTGCCCACCGTGTCCTTTGGATTCATATATTTCCCTCAATCTATCCCCTGATATCAATGGGAATGGCATACACTGATCATTGATCATATGCATCTGTTCAAATTCATTTTCCTCTATTGATTTATGTACTTTTTTTAGTAATTGCCCTTGCTACCATTTACCAAAAAAAAACTAATTGGGAATCAGAATACTTACGAGAAATCACCAGTTTAGTTCCTGTGCCAAAGTATTTTATCAGTGTTGCAGCAGCACGGTGTTTTTTCTTTGTACAAGAACTTACTCTACAGCAGCTGGTCATTCATGGCTTATAAAACTGAGCTTTCCAACCAATCACTGGAAAAATACTTCAAAAGATATACTCTTGGTTTTTGAGAGTTTAAAAAACTGAATGAATGTTTGGGTTTTGTGCCTTCATTTTAGTGAACCTCTATTCAGTGTTATTCTGTTTTTAGATCCTTGCAACTTTTCCATTAAATAACCATCAACTTATTTTCCAAAAATGAGAACCAGTTTTATTTTAATGGAGTAAGGAAATTGATTGGTCAGACACTTTCAATGTTTTCTTTGTGTGATCCACAGATTAAAAGAGAATTTGTCTTATGGACCACAGGCCCTCTCAGTCACAATACCATGGGTCACCTTTCCTATAGTCTTTACTCAGAGAAATTCTCTGAGGCAGCTCTAGCAACTGCTTATATGTAAAATAATGATAAGAGAGTTATTTTTTTAATTACCCAATAGCTGATAGGGAAGCTAACCAATTTAAACTCTGCTACCTTTGAAAAGAAGGTAACTAAGATGTTGCCTTGTGAATAATGCTTAGGCTTTAGACCCTCGCTTGCCTTGACTGGATGAAACCTACTCTGGATGTGGTTATATTTAGTTTGTTCCTGGAGAAAGTTACTCCTGCATAGCAGAGGGAATGTTAGAATAGCCTGTAGCTGTCCCTCAATACGTAAGACCTTTAAAACTAGTCATATACTAGTGGCAATGTTTGTTTCTTTGTTTCAGTTTACCTGCACAGCAAGAAATGCTTTTAATAAACTGGTTTTGTAACCTACTTAGCGGGAAAATATATCCTCTGGGTAATGTGCAAAATAACACAACCTTGATAGCTTTTACAGCTTTTTGATGTCTTAAAGACACTACAAAGATGTGGATCTTGTCCTGTTAGCTTATCAGGGTATGGAAATACATACCACAGGGTATGGAAATACTAAGAGCTCAGTCTCTCAAACTAAGAAATATAATTGCCAATTGTATGCTTGTGTCTAGTACACTGCTAATATTCGATAGAATTTTTTTATAAGTTACTGCAAGTGCTTTGGTTTCAGCTCACTTGTACTTGTGCACAAGTTGCCCCACACTAGAGCTGGATTTGTTTTTTCCAACAGATCAATATTCCCCAGAAAATCAGAACTATTAGTCACAAGAATGACTTGCAGAGCTTAGAGATGGAAAAGAGTCTAAGGTCTAATGTCAGCAAATTCTACTGCTTTGAGGAATAGGTGGCATTGATTTAAGAGAGAAATTCACCATTTGGAACCTTTTAGGCATATATTGAAAGTATTTAGTCACAAACAGGTAGGGCTGTATTTTCATGCATAAAAATGTGCATGTTAGATGGTTAGCCACATTAGCCTGAAACCAGGCAGAAGGTATGGCAAGGTGTTACTTTATAAACTAACTGGTTCAGAGAGGCATATGTTTTTGTAGGCAACAGCCTACTTTGTCAAATGCTATGAAGGGACTGGCATAAAGCTAGGGTTTTAAATAGTAAGGAAAGGGATGGGGCAGGGGGTGGAAGGGAGGAGGAAGGGAAGAAGAATAAAGCTTGAAATTATTTCTTTTAAGAGCTTTGTCTCTAAAATTCTCTAGTATAGTTTGGGGCAAATTTACCTCCTGATCGATTGCAATTGTATATACTCTTTATTGGTTAGCACCAAACTGGTTAGCACCTTTAAGAAGAGAGTTAGAAAAGTAATCTTTAAGGCTAGGAACAGACATTACACACAAACTGGTTGAAGTGATCAGAAACTGGTTTAAACCTGTAACAGAACATAAATTCAGTGCACATAAACCAACTTCAAAATGGCTGAAACTGGTTTGAGATGAACCTGGTTGAATCTAATATCAGACTTACCTGATTTGCGTCAAACTGGTTTATGCAATGTCTGTCCCAGACCCCTGTCTCATCCATATGAAGTTATGAGGGGACACATATTGCTCCCAGTCTACTCATGACTTATAAAATGAATTATCAAGCTTCATATAGTAGATTTTGCCCCTATGAAAATGCTGAAATAATTGTTCTAAAAACTTACCAGATATAACAAGTTTCGTGCCTGTACCAAAGACTTTTGCAGTGTCCACGGTGTTGCATATTACTACAAAAACCACACCAGATATTTTTACTAAAAAGGGTTGGATCTTAACCCACCTAGTATGAACAGGCACAAGGGAGAGCCAGTACATCCAACGAAATGCACAAAGAAAATCCCAATTTATTTTTCAACCTTTGTTATCATGAATATATGCAACACCAGTAACCTATTTCTTCTCAAAACATGCCATGCTAATCAATTGAATAAGGCCAATTTTAAACAAGGATTACTCAACTGAGAATAAAAGCAGGTTCATTAACTACATTTGACCTCAAAAGCAGTTTTTGCTTGTTCTGCACACGTGTGGATAACATTGTTCTAACTGAAATATAAAGCTATACAACACAGGTGCAGTCCTGGCCCCCTTGATCTCAATGGGAGTTCTGCATTGACCTTAACAGAGCCTGGATTTCATTTCATGCACACGGAAAAGATGAAAGCTCCTATATAAGATCTATAGGATCTGCAGTCAAATTCAGACCAGACATAATTCCTAATGAATGCATGTTATGTTCACTTGCACTGTTCTCTCTATTTTTCTCTGGGGGAGCAATTTTAGCCTGTATTTGATATTTATCTTAATTGTTTTATTGTATCCTATACTTTCAATATACAAGGAAATCTTATAAACAGTGTCATGTCGACTGACAATGCAGGTCCAATTCTGTGTTCTTTACTCAGTCAAAGCTCTTGGAAAATTAACGAGTTTTTCTACAAAATAAGAAAAAGACTTATAAAAAATTTTTTTTGTAAATTACATAGATTAGCAGTACAGTATATCTGCACTTTATCTCAGAGATCACTGACTTAAAGCAACATGCTGATCTGATATATTGAGAATTAATTATATTGCTAATTCATTTTTTTTAACAGGCAGCATTACAAAATGTTACCTTGTCTTGAAATCAGTAATGAACTAAGATAATCTTGCCTATGAAATGAATACATTTCAGAGTACTTGACTGTGACATTTCTAGTCTTTTTTTTATTTTATAAATGTGCCTAGAGTGATTCTTAAAGAGGAACAACCTGATGTGCCCTGTATTTGTGCACTCTTTTACACCAGCATGTGGTGGGGTGAAAGCATTTTCCTTCAACTTTGCATTAGTATAAATGGCCACATCTGGTTTCAGATCCAAAATTGTACAGCTACCCCTCAGTGCCCACTGAAGTCAACAAGAAATGATTTTTCCCAGCCCCACAGAAAAGATCGTGATTTAAATTTTTAAAAATACTGTGGATCAAAACATTATTCTATGATCACAAAAATCTTTTTTATCTGTGGAAGACAGTAATTAGCAGGCAACTTACCTGATACAACAAGTCTTGTACCAGAGCCAAATACTTTGACAGAATAGCCATCACTAGATCTATCACAGTGGGTAAATCCTTTACAAATATCTATACAACCTAATCTTTTTTATGGTGATTAAATAGTAGGGATCACTTTTAAAAGAAAAAAAAATACTATTTACATTTCTTTCCCACCTTCAAAAATATTAAGTAAAGAGAATACTTTTAAGGTGAAAAACCAGTGGGGGGAGATTTTCAAGAATATAAATGGTACCTAATGATTGAATTTCAATCATAGTTTAAATGTCACAATGCCTTGTTAAATCTCTCCCTAATCTGGACCCAGCATGATTAATATTATAAATATTTAATTTTAAATATTCATAGAAAGGAATATGTTTCTTTTTAAATTGGGGTCCCAAGGCTGTGGTTAAAAAATTAGTCTGTACTGCTTTAATTCCATAATGAATAACCACTCACAAATTAAAGAAGATTGTTATAAAGATTAAGAGTAAAATATAGCTGCTACAATGAGAATGATTTTGGAAATAATTTTAGGTAATTTCTTTCATTTATATAAACAGATAAGTTCCAGGTAGAAAATATGTTTTCCTTACAAATATCTTCAGGAATTAGTTACCCTAACAGGAATAAGTTATCAGCTAAGTAACCATCTTATTTTCTCCTGTTGCTGTATGGAATCTGTAAGATCTTACTCAGTTTAGTTCTGATCTGACCTTACATTTAAGCACATGCTTAAGTATTTTGCTTAATGTAAGTAGCTTTTAAACACATACTTAAAGGCCTTCCTGAACCAAGGCTTTTATTAGTATAGTATCCCACTATAAGTGTAATCCTAGAGTTTTAGCAGAATCACTGGGAGTTTTGTCACTGACATCAGAATTTTGCTGTGGATAACAGATATGGGCGGTTAACTACGGTGAGTTTGAGAAAAAAAAGACTGTGTTACATTTGTTTTATAAACATGATCTAAAGCTTTTAGCCTTTGGAATTTTTTTTACGAATTTCCAGTATTATTGGTTCAGAATAGCTTTGTTTACTAACATTGCCTCTACCTTTCTTAAAAGGTAAAATGAATGAGCAGCTCGTTACAGAATCTCAACCTTATATTTAGAAATAGATCTTTAAAGGTATCTTAAAATTTTTTGACTACTTCTCACAGGGCTAAACTGGCTTGTGAATGAAATAAGGGCCCACAGTGCTTGAATCTGACATTTTTATCAGGCAGCAAGAGCAGGCGTTAAGGAGAAACATCTTTTGAGACTCACTTGAAACCATCAGTTTGGTGCTTTTGCCAAAGTGCTTTACTTCTGATGCACATTATTGTAATGTCTACAAAACTAATGAATCTTCAAGGTATGAATTTCAACCAACCAACATCTGAGATCAATATTTTAAAAAAATACAATCTAGACAAGAGTGACTAGAAACACCATTGAACTGAATTCAAGCACTTTTTACATTTTAATGTAGTTCTTTCTGCTAAAATGCTTTCAGCTCCTTGACTTACATGACTTCATGGCAATACAATTGTGCAGAATGTTTCAAAAGAATGACCAGGAATTCACCCAAAGTTCAATCAAGTCCTTTCATTAACTTCAACTTGTGACAACTTAAAAATTCACAGTGTCACTTTGTTTTATATGCTTATGATATATTGTTTTGATAGTAGTGCACATTTCCTAGAGAATATAATATGAACATCATTACATGTAATCAACCTTGAAATTACAGCCTATATTATTGTTTCTAACATTTTTATATATTGTAAACATACTTATATACGCAAGAGGGAAATGGTCCTTTCAGTATAACACGAACCACGGGACATTTCACCTCCTAGCTAATTTCAATCCCAGTCATTATGGGATGCAGACCTGCTACCACCTTGCCTATAACAAACTTTTCTGTTTTCCATCTGCTTTTTCACTTGTAACTTATTCTGTAAATATTCAGGTGTTTTTATCTTATCAACATCATTGCACCAGGGGTGAATTGGGACCACTATTTTCAATGTCTTCATTGCCCACCTCCTCAGTCCTTATTAAGTTTTCAATAAACATCCCAGAAATTATATTATTAAGATTAAGATAATATATTTCCCTATGATACTCATTAGGATAATGTATTTCCCTAAATTCATCCTCTAATGGCAATGGGAACTCCATGCACTAATCATTGATAATATTGGGTTTATCTTGCAAATTCATTTTCTTCAGTTGATTTATGTCTCTTTCTAATAATTGCCCTTGCTACAGTTTACCCCCCAAAAGCCCCCAACTAAACAAAACAAGAATCAAAATACTTACCAGAAACCACGAGTTTGGTTCCCGTGCCAAAGTATTTGATCCATGTTGTAGTATCACAGTGGTTTTTCTTTGTACAAGAAGTTACCATACTTTACTGAAGCTGGTGGTTCATGCTTGAAAAAACTGAGCCCTCCAGCCAATCACTGGGAGAATACTTCACAAGCAATAATGTTGGTTCGTTGAGGGTTTAAAAATTAACTTCTGATTTTTCATGCCTTCATTCAGATCTATTTTGAGATCTTTGTGACTTTTCCATTAAATAACCCATCAACCTATTTTCCTCAAATGGGAACCAGGTGGGGACTGCTGTTTTGGATTTTTATGAGACTGGTAGTTCAGCTGGATTTAACGTGTTTTCAACATGTGATCACTTATTAAAAGAGAATTTGACATGGCTCACAAGCCTTTTCAGGCACAATAGCATGGCCACCTTTCCTGCAGTTGGCAATCAGATAAATTCTCTGTTGCAGCTGTAGCAACTGTTTACATGGGAAAATAATCGTAAAAGAATGATTTGTTTTTAGTTGTCTTACTACAGTTAAGCAGAAGGAAATGAAGCAGCATTCTGGAAAAAAGCCAGTTCTGTACAGACCACTACAAAGAGTCCTATAGGCAGCATATTTTGGCTGTCTCTTAGGATAATAAAATCAGAGAACATTAGCGTTCGTAGATTCGTAGATTGTAAGGCTGGAAGAGACCTCAGAAGATCATTGAGTCCAGCGCCCTGCACCTGGATAACTGGGGGTCAGGTGACCCCAGCAAAGTGACTGTCTAGTCTCCTTTTGAAGATATCCAGGATGAAAGTGACCTCAAGAGATCATCTAGTCCAGCCTCCTGCTCAAAGCAGGACCATCCCCAACTAGATCATCCCAGCCAAGGCTTTGTCTAGCTGGGTCTTAAAAACTTCCAAGGATGGAGATTTCACAACCTCTCTAGCTAACCTGTTCCAGTGTTTTGCTATCCCCCTAATGAGAACGTTTGTCCTAATATCTAAACCTAAACTTCCCTTGCTGCAACTTCAGACCATTGTTCCTTGTTCTGTCATCTGCCATCACTGGGAACAGTGTAGCTCCATCCTCTTCAGAACCACCCTTCATGTAGTTGAAAGCTGCTATTAAATCCTCCCTCAGCCTTCTCTTCTCTAAACTAAATAAGCCCAGTTCCCTCAGCCTCTCCTCACAAGTCGTGTGCCCCAGTTCCTGAACCATTTTTGTTGTCTTCCGCTGGTCTCTCTCCAATTTGTCTACATCCTTTCTGTAGTGGGGACCCCAAAACTGGATACAGTACGCCAGATGTGGCCTCACAAGGGCTGAATAGAGGGCAATAATCACTTCCCTTGATCTGCTGCCAACACTCCTACTAATGCAGCCCAGGATGCTATTAGCCTTCAGCAACAAGGGCACAGTGTTGGCTCATATTAACCTTATTGTCCACTGTAAGCCCCAGATTCTTTTCTGCAGAGCTGCTAGTTAGCAAATAACATTTTTTTTTCTCCTCTTAAATAAAATTTTGCTAAGTAGCTGTCTTGGGATTTTTCCAGGTTAAGTAATACTAATTTACTGGCATCCTTTCATATGGTAGCTGGGAAAGAAACAAAATTGTTTCCTTTGCACGCTGTCCTGTAATAAGGAGCAAGCACACTGTATATATTCACCACTACACACACATATATATATATAGCTTATATATTCACTATAATACTACTATTATAGTAATCATCAGTGTGTAACACTCCCATCCAGAAACTTAGTGTTCTTTTATGCATTGGGCCTCCTCACTTATGTGAAGATCTTTTACAGAAGTTGTTGAATGAAATGATTAAATGAAGTGAAAAAGCCATATGATAATAATTTACCCAATTTATCTAGGTAGATTATAAATCATAAGAACATAAGAGGTGCTACCTGGGTCAGATCACAGGTTCATCTGGCCTGTATTCTGTATCTTACAATGTCACAAAGTGAATGCTCAGGAGAAAATATTTAGATAGGGCTTATCTAAACTGATCTGTCCTCTGCTCCTTTTTCCTTACAGCTTTCGGCATTTAGAGGCCCAGAAATGCAATTTGGAGCTTGCATTTATTACTATAATGTTTAATACTCACTGAAGGACCTATCCTGCATGAATTTATCTAATCCTCTTTTGAACCCAGTTATACTGTCAGCCTCTACAACGTCTTATGGAAAGTAGTCCCACAGGTTTTTTACAGGCTGTCTGGGAGGAAAAAAACAACTCCCTCCCTCCCCCCACAAAAAAAACCTTCCTTTTAGCTTGAAACCCACTTCTTAATAATTTCCTCATGTGTCCTAGATCTGGTATTGTGAGAGAAAGTAAATAGTAAATCCCTGCAGACATGAGACAAAGAAAGGGCAGTTGCAGGGCAGTTGGTGACAGACGTGCGAGAGAAGGCAAAACTCTTCAACAAGTTCTTTGCCTCTGTGTTCCTGTCTGCTGACAATGGGGTGCTCTTGGGTGATAGTGTAGAGAGGCCCAGGAAGGATGCGATTTCCCCGACTGTTAGTTCAGACATAGTTAAGGATTACCTGGAGGGCTTAGATGTGTCCAAGTCAGCAGGCCCAGATGACCTTCATCCATGGGTGTTGAGGGAATTGGCTGGTGTCATTGCAGAGCAATTGGCCCAGCTGCTCGAGGACTCCTGGTGCTTGGGCCAAGTCCCTGAGGACCGGAAAAGGGCCAATGTGGTCCCTATTTTCAAGAAGGGGAGGAAGGAAGAGTCTGGCAACTAC